CACCCAGCCGCCCTGGTCCTGGATCCAGCCCAGCAGCCGCTCTCGAAGGAAGTCCAGTGTCCAGCCCATGATGGTCCTGATCAGCTCAGGCACTTTGGTGCAATAAATGTGTACAAGTAGACGCATAAGTGACCCTCTGTTTATCTCAGTTACATTATTTGCCTAAATTCCAGAGCAGAATTAACCCAATTAGTTTATATAATGGCTAATGCTATCCCTCAGCTTAGCTATTAGGGATGTGCATAACCGATGCTAGACAGGGGATGGTGTTATTTTACATATAAGTCAAGCTTTGGGGACTGTGGCTTGTATCCAGTGAGTCTTGAAGATGAAAAATCAGAATCCAGTGTGGAAATCATTGTACCGCAAAGCAACACACACTGCTGGTGTTATTAATGCAATTAAATTCAACTTCTGGTTTAAAATGCCAGTGATGATCATGATTTTCCATATGTGATACCGTCTTACCCAAGACATGTTACATTTTGCTAACATCTCATTATTTTTCTCTGACTTAGGAAAGTCAGCAGCCATAAGCACTCAATAAATATTTGCTGAATAAATTGAACCGGGGGAGCAGAAGGCAGAGCTCGGCCCGCGGGCCTGAGTGAGGCTCTGAAGGGACATCACCCAGTGGGTGGCCGCTCTCCGGGGCCTCGTGCCCTTCCCATCCCCATGCCCACCAGCGCCTCCTGCTGATACTCGGGGCTAAGGTCACGTCCCCAGAGAGGGCTCTCCTGACCTTCAGGCCGGGGACGACTCCACAGCCCCCATACACGGCCTCTCTCCACCTCCCTGAACGTCCGCCTCCCGCTGTCCGCTGCGTCTCCCCTCCTGGTGCCCCCAGCCCCCCGTCACCGTGACTGCTGCCCCCTCACCTCACCTCATTCACTAGCTCAATATCCCAAACACAAGTCTATTTTACCCGGCCGGCGTGGCTCAGTGGTTGAGCAAAAAAAACACATAAAAATGTTCGCATTAGTTGTTGCTAATTAGTTGTAGCCTGAAAGCGGGGCTTAGTACCTGGCTGATGGCTGAGGGATTTCAGTGCGCCGAGCGCCATCTCGTGGCCTTTGGGTTACAATGCAGTGTACCCCCTTTAATCAAAAACTTGTAGATCCTGTTTCTGAGCTGTACAAATGACCAGAATTTAAAGTTAAAAAACCACACCTGCAGATTCAATTTTTTTAAAAAAAATTTTTTTATTGATTTCAGAGAGGAAGGGAGAGGGAGATTGAGATAGAAACATCAATGATGAGAAAATCATTGATCGGCTGCCTCCTGCACGCCCCCTACTGGGGATTGAGCCTGCAACCCGGGCACGTGCCCGGACCAGGAAACAAACCCAGGACCCTTCAGTCCACGGGCTGACGCTCTATCCACTGAGCCAAACCGGCCAGGACCTCCCCCCAATATTTTATCATGAGAATCTTCAGAGAAAAGTTAAAAGAATTTCACAGTGAACAACCATACGCCTGCAACCTAGTTTCTACAATTAACATTTTGCTATACTTGCTGGAATAATATGTTAAGTGTATAAATCAGGTCACCTCACTCCCCTGTTTACAATCAGCCAATTGCCCTGGCGGGGGTGCCTCGGTTGTGTGAGCGTCCTCTGTGCACTGAAAGGTTGCGGGTTCGATTCCCGGTCAGGGTACACGCCCAGGTTGTGGGCTCTCCCCCCTCGGTTGCGTGCAGGAGGCAGCCAATCGCTGTTTCTCTCTCACATCGATGTTTCTCTCTCTTTCTCTCTCTTCCTTCCTTTTTCTCTAAAATCAATGAAAACATATTTAAAACAATAATAATAAAATAAAACCAGCTAATCACTCCAAGTGAAGTTGAAGTCTTTACAGTGGCCCATCAAGCCCCTCCAAACCTGCCCTCATCTCCTACCCTTTTCCCCTCCTCACTCGGTTCTAACCACAAGGGCCTCCTCAACCCATAAGGTCTGGTCTTACCCCAGGGCCTTTGCACTTGCTGTGTCCGCTCCAGATGCCTTTCCCCCAATCCTTATATGTCACTGCACCTTCCTTGTCGTTCCAACTTGGGCTTTCATGTCACCTCCCCTGAGAAGTCTTTCCTGGTCCATTTGCCCCAAACCACATCACCCTAGCTTACTCCTCTCAGCACCCATGGCTCGATGTGGGCAGGGACCTAACCCGCTTTGTTTGGTGCTGCATCCTGGGTGCAGAGTACAGGGTGGCACATAGTAGGCCCAGTAAGTATCTGTTGGATGGATACATGAATGACGGAACAAGACAGCGGGCTCATAGCCATCTCCTTCGGTCAGTCTGGGTTGCCACGGGCGTTGGACGCCACGCCTCCCAGGCCCCCCGCGGGTTTGAGGGGAGCCTTCCTGGGCTCCCTGCCCTGCAGCCACCCACCTTGAGCACCAGTTTGCTGGCAAAGTAGAAGAGAGCGACAACCCGGCCCCAGTTGAAGTTGCCGTCGGAGAACATTTCAGACGCCACTCGGAAGAAGACCTCGCGGGGGGAGTCTGTGTCCACGGCCGCGATCATCCTGCAGGAGGGAGGGGAGCCGGTGGCGGAGGGGACCGGGCGGAGCATGCATCCTGGGGCACCCGCCCCCTAGACCAAAGATGAGGAAACTGAGGCCCAAGGCCAGTTTGAAACGAAAAGCAAGAAGCCAACGCAGGGGAAAGGGACCAGATGGACATTTAGGAAAGTGGGGAAATGAAAATGACCCCCTGACGGAGGGTTTCAAGATCCTATGGGCCCAGCAGGCCTAGCTCAGGGGTCCAGCAACGACCTATGAACCAGGAGGTCATAGGTCGTCGGGGCACGTGCAGTGTGGGCCATGCAGGGGGCACCCCATCAATGATTCCATCTTATCACGGAGATTTCTCTCTCTCCCTTCCTCTCTGAAATCAATAAAAATCTTTTTTCTTTGTGTTTTTTTTTTTTTTTAAAGATCCTTGGGGAGGGGAGGGCTGGGAGTCAGAGTGCTGAGTTGGGTAGCGGGACGGACCCCCAGGTCTGCAGGAACCGGGGGGCTGTGGACCTGGACTCAGTGCTCCTCAGGGAAGGGGGGGCCGGGAGCTGGGACTCCTGGGTTCCGGGGGCCACACCTCTGCAGCTCCATGTTACTGTCCAGCTCGTCGCCAATGCGCTTGAGGCACTCGCTGAGCTTCTTGGTGGATGCGTCCTGGGGCACCCTGGGCCCCAGGGGCAGCTGGGACGCCTCTCCCCCCATGTGCTCTGCTTGATCCTGGATGAAGCTGGAGGGGGAACGGAGGAGGGGGCACCATTAGCACGGGGGCCGGGGGGGTCACGCTTCAAATCCGCTCCACAATAATCGACCTCACACTCACCCCTTTAGTAAAAGGGCCCCTGTCTTCATGATCTGCTCAGAGCTGGTGGGCCCTGGAGGAGAGAGGAGGGAAGAGGTGCCTGGACTCATGGGTCCTGGGGGCCCCATGGCCCCTGATGGAGGTCAGTGCTGGGGGCGCCCTGGGGCCCTGGAAGGTGAAGTGATTGGTGGCCCGGACAACGGGGTCCCTGGTGGAGAAAGGCGGGGAGACTGGGCCCGCATCCCACACTCTTCCGGGAAGGGAGACTCGGGGAACCCTGAAAGCATCCCGGCCCGAGGGGAAGCCGGGGAGACCCGCCCCTCCCACCAGGAAGTGGCGCCGGCGACAAGCCCGGGCTTGCCCCGGGGGCTTGAATTCTGGGGTCCCCGGCTTATCGGGGGTCCCAGAGCCCCGGGCAGGAAGGGATCGGGGCGCGGAGGCCAGAGAGCCAGGGGACCTCAGGGAAGGAGGGGGCTGGAGGCTGGCAGCGCCCGACCG